AATCCCAGCCCAAAATTGCCTTTTTAATTTTTTATTTTTCTTTTTGCAAAAACAGTGGTTGCTCCGATGTTGTGCTCTTCTGAAAGGTGCTCTCCTGGCAACCTCAACTCCTAGAACACCAATCTCCCTGGAAGATGTGAAAAACGCCTTAAGAGCCACCAAAATTACTGTCACAACACTCATGCACTTTGATCCATTAAAGCCCCTAGGAGGGGCCAGCAGGTGACGTGGTGGTTAAGGTGTGGACTCCCACATGGCCAACCACAGTTTAAGTACTGGACCTGGCAGCTTAAAGCTCACACTGGGTATACGTGTGTGTGTGTGCCCCAAATCCCAAGAGGACAATGGAGGAGAAGGGACTGTAGTGTGGCCATCTACCCTAGAGGTGATTATTCACCTCAGTCCAACAACAGTATTGGGTACTTTCTCATGCCTGATTCAAACTGGCAAGAGTTTTGTAGGCTTGAGTGGGTGCCATTTCAGGGGCAACATCACCATCATTCATCCACTTACTCATTAATACATTATTCACTTATTCATTCAACAAATATTTATTTAGCATGTATGCATAGACATAAGATAAAATATAATTTTTGATACATTTGATACAATTTATTAAAGAGAAACACTTACTGAAACCATTGAAGAAAAGAGGGTGACAATGCAGAGGGGAACTACTAATGGCCACTAGATCCTAGGGCTCCCTCTTCTCTAGAGGTTCTTGATGATCTGCCCCCCATGGTATGTCCCTCCTGCCACATTCTTCCTCCCCAAGTGATCCAGGATCTGCCTCTTACCAGAATGATGAACTCTGGCAATGCCCACCCACTTCAGGGTGCCCCCCCCCGACCTGGGGCCAATCCACTGAGGAGTGTCACTGCCCTATGACCAGCACAGGACAGTCATAGAACACTGGAAAACAGTAGCAGGGAATACCCCTCCAAGTAAAGGAAACTAAGTCACAATAACAACATGGGTGGTGCCTTTTACCCAACCCTCCCTCCATCCCCTTCCAGTTCTTCCTCCCCAAGGTCACATGGTGAGTATGGGCTGTGTCTTCGTCCATCCTTTTGGCCATCACCTGGGGCTGGGCTCAGGGTCTCTGGGTAGGGCCACTCAAACAAGTACACACACATTTCCCATAAAACAAGCAACAGTGGGCCTAAAAATCTATACTGAGAAAGCAAAGGTTGAGGGTCTGACACTGGACAGGCATGAGCAGAGCCCCATGGCCAGCTGAGGTAGTTGACTGAGCCGGATCTCCCCCAGGAGTTGCCATCCACCTCAGAACTCTGCTCAAGAATGATGGCCAGCAGATGGGTGGCATTTGCTTAACACATGGGTCACTATGGGGCCTACAGAAATAAAGGTGGGCTTCCTGGAATGGGGAGCAGCCTGCCCCAAGGATG